GGGTATTTAAAACTTTGCATTTTAGATTTTATTTCCTATTCGTGACTTCACCAAAATCTGTTTTTAATTTTAATTTAACAAATGGCTCACTCAATCGGCCATGCAGTATCAAAGTATTATATCTGTAGTATAAACTGGAAAAAGTGTGATCTTTGCTGGAAATTTGGTGGCGTTTTATTGGGGAGAAAGGTTGTGGGAAAATGAGATCAAAATAGTTAGAAGTTTATGTGGAGTCTATTTTAAGGTGATTACAATTTTAATTTCCTAAACCGGAAAACAGCTGAGATGATGTAGTCTGAAAAATTGCACGTGATATAGTTGCACGTGACATACTGGCTAAAGGATTTTAATTACTATTAATGTTTAATTCGGGTGAAATGAATCGTTTGGGCTAATATTGGTTAAAAATGAGTCAAATATATCCTATTGTTATTCTAGGTTGACAACAAGTTACAACCTGTCTCAATTGTTTTAATTGGCCGTTACACAAAACTTAGACACAGTACAGTACTTTGGTAGACCTATTTTAGATTTTTAGATTTTTATGCTAATTTGTCTAATTGTTGCTTAGTGTAGGTTGTCTGGTCGTCAACGTTTTTGAAAATCATTAACTTGCAGTATAGYGCTGTTTCTAACGATTTGATTTCTGAAAATTTTAGTTGTTTTAAAGTTTATTCGTGTTCTTTGTCAGTGTCATATGTCAATGACGAGAAGACAATACTTCAAGTCACACTTCGATGATTCTTAAGAGGTAAATAGCGGTGTCAAGTTCTTTTTGAATTGAATTTAAATTTTTAGTAGACCAACGACGTCGACCAAGCCGTTACAGCTGAAAATCTTGTAACCGTTTGGGAGAACTACGCTTTTATTACAACCGTTCAAGGTTCTAGACTATGGAAAATGAGCAAAATACAGTGAAGGGAAGTTCAAAACGAAGTCCCGAAGAACTTTTTAATAAGTTTATCGAAGCTGAAGATTGTCCTGAAATACTTCAGTCTTTTCAACGGTTGGTCCACGCTACCGGAGTTAAAGCTGAAACACCGAGGGAATTTTATCAGAATTTAAGAAGTAAACTACAGTCATGGAAGTGTAAGAGTTTGTGGGAATTATTAGACAAACGTGCAAATCAAAAAGAATATTCCGAAGGCACAATATGCGAGGATGTTCATGCTTTTGTTATCGGCTGTGGTCCCATCGGTCTTCGAACAGCTATAGAACTATCTCTTCTAGGAGCACAAGTAGTTGTTGTGGAAAAAAGACAGACTTTTTCTAGGAATAATGTTCTTCATCTTTGGCCTTTTTTACTTACGGATTTCCGATCGCTTGGAGCTAAGAAATTCTACGGGAAGTTCTGTTCGGGATCCATAGATCACATCAGTAAGTACAAAATAAATGCATGGTAAGCTTAATCGTTCTTGTGGTGGTGGATAGCGTTAAATACTTAGCAATAAAATTAATTTATTTTCTCACCATTATATTTAACTTTAATACTTTATATTTCGACTAGATCTTCTTTAATATTCGATAAACCGTTATCTCCAGATCTATCAACGCGAACGAAAAATAACCTTAAGAATCGACGTGATCTAGAACATGACGTTCAATGTTCTATAGTGTTTATATAAATACTGCTTGTAAATAAACAACCTCAAACTGTTCGGGACGTCCAAAACACAATGTTTTCGCAAACATTTCGAAGAAGTATCTTTGAACCTGTCTCATAAGTCGGTAAGATAACTTTATCTTACTTAACTATTAATAGAGTATCTATTTTTAATAAAGCATGCAATTTTCGTTGAAACTAATTTAGAAATTTTATAGTTTATCATAGCCAGGCTGTAGGGCCTTAAAATTAGGATATGGCATGCTTAACCGTTGAAGTAACCGTTTACAGTGATGACGGATAACTGTTATAACGATCAAACGATCTCAAAAAAAAAAAACATTAGGTATTCAAGTATTTGGATTGATTCCGCTAATTATGCATAATAGTTTTATGATATTCCGCTTTATTATGCATAATATTATCATCAGGAATGTGTAGTTTTTAAGCCTTATTTGGATAAATTTGAAAATGATTTAGTTATCCCTTGATCTAACTTTCTGTGTGCTTTTGTTTTTCGCTTTTTTGAAGAACAAGCAAGTTCATGACCAGCCTGACTAGACTTGACTTCCTTAACCTGAGTATCAGGTTCCCTATTTGGAAGGAAGGGCTACAAGCTTGTATAATTTCACTTTGCACGTTTTTTTTCTAGTGATTTGTTAGATGTTTATTCTCTTTATTACTTTCCACTGACTTCCTCTCTTAATTCCAGATCTCTCCCCCCTCTCTCTCTCCCTCCCTCCCAACTAATCTTTTAGTTATCTACCTACCAACCAGCCAGCCAACCTAGCTATGTACCTAACTATCTAACTATCTACCAACAAACTTAACTATCTACCTACCTCTGTCCCTCTGTCGACCCTCCTTACCTGCCTACCTCATACCTACATGCCTAAATACCCCTGGGTACTGAAACCTACCTGTTACCTATACCTACCTACCTAGCTGCCTGCCTGCCTACCTACCTACCTCTACCTACATACCTGCCTACCTACCTACCTCTACCTACCTACCTACCTACCTACCTATCTACCTACCTACCTACCTACTTACGGTACAAAAGACTTGTCCCTTAGCACCAGGGTTACTACCCTATCAACATGTAAACAAAGGCCATTGACTTTACTTTATATGGGAAAACTTGTCTCTTTATTAAAGCCAAAATTTTAAAATATAACACTACAGGGGRAAAAAATATTTTACTTTATTCATACTGCATTTTTATTCCAGAATATACAACTTTTATTTCAATATTAAAAACAAAACATTCCATATCGAATAATCGTATTTTACAACAGTCCTACTTTTAAAAAAACGAGTAGTTCAGGTTACCAGGGAGAAGGATTTGCTGGTCAAATATTTTTAATGTTACATAATGACCACGTTGACCTTGGACCAACACTAACATGCGTGACGTTCAGTGAGGGAGTTCTTTGAAGGATGAATTTTTCTTATGTAATTTGGTGTGTTCATTTTCTTGGAATTCTAAAAAAAGATCACTTAGTCATGATTACTTGTTCGTCCGGGAAGCACGTAATAAAATGTTTTGCCACACTTCAACGAGTCATTTTGAAGTCCTATATTCATTTTATGTGTATAATAAGCGTTAAAAATGCCGTTAAAAAAAAAAAAATCTGGAACGATATAGAAGCGCTATAAAAACAGAAATGGAATAGGGAAAAAGATGGCAACAACATAGCAATGAATTTGGAGTAATAAAATAAGAATAATAATACATAATTGCGCTGAAGTATGGACATAAATCCATTAAAAAAGTACTATTTAACTATATATTCCAGTAGCAGTTAGGAATTGACAAAAAATATTGAATCGATTTTTTTCCACCCCGAGCCAGTCCAAGTACCTTAAAGAATATCGGATATTTTTCACACACACACACGAAATAAAATGTTAATTCTTGATTCTTGATTATTATTTTGTCTTTCTCCGTCTAGGTATACGTCGGTTGCAATCCATTCTTCTCAAAACAGCTCTTATTTTTGGTGTCAAAGTCTTCACTGGCGTGACTTTTGAGAAAGTCATTGAACCAATCAGTGAAGAGGAAGGCTGGAAATGTTCTGTCACGCCTTCCAATCACTTTGTAAGTGACTTTGAGGTAGACGTGCTGATTGGTGCTGACGGGAAAAAGAATGTGTTACCTGGGTTTGCTCAAATAGAAATGCGAGGTAATCCCATTTTCCTCCTTTTTTATTCTCATTCTTCTTTTCTCCACCTTAGCTTTTTTCACTCAATTAAAACGTTCACAATGACAAGAGATATAGTAACGAACAAACCCAACATAAAATTCAGGAGCTGATCCACCATTTCCCATTTCAAACCATGTGTCATTCCCTAGATTATTATTTCTTTGTYTAACGGTTGCGCATGAGAAGACACATGAATATGGATACAACTCAAACAAAGAATCTTATTCTCAAGAGACTGACRCATGGTCTGAAATGGGCAAAACATTACGCCCAAGTGGATTTGATCCATTCGTGAGAAAACTCCCACAACTCCAACTGCATTGGCTAATCTCCAATCCTCTATTTTATCGAAACGGAAACAAAAAAAAAGCAAGGGTTTTAGGGTATAATTCTAAACAATCGCATTTTACATATAATTTAATTTATTAAATTTCAACAATTTTTTTAAAAAGTTAAGACTTTTCTCTTTATATTTCCCCCAGGAACTCTCGCAATCGGAGTGACAGCGAATTTTGTGAACTACTACAGCGAAGAAGAGGCAAGAGTGGAAGAGATCAGCGGTATAGCGTACCAGTTCAACCCAGGTTTTTTCCAAAAGCTGAGACAACTAAAGGGAATAAGCCTTGAAAATATCGTTTATTACAAAGATGAAACTCATTATTTTGTTATGACAGCAGTCAAGTCTAGTCTATTGGAAAGAGGTGTACTAAAGCAGGTAAAACTGGAAATATTATCACGTATTTTTCACTTAGTATCATCATCATTATTTCTGAAAATGTTGAATTTTTTTCAAAGGACTTTGGAAATAACCCGCAAAAGTTGTTAAGTCCTGATAACGTGGACAGAGCCAGCCTAATATCGTATGTAAATGATACAGTTGACTACGCTACGAAAGGACGGCTTAAACACCGAGACTTGAAGAAAGATAAGAAAGGGAATGCGGATATAGCTGTGTTTGACTTCACTTCCATTAAAAAGGCAGAAAATAGTGCGAGAATCAAGGAAAGAAAAGGTCATAAGTTACTGATTGGACTCGTGGGAGATAGTTTGTTAGAGGTAAAGTAAACTGTGTTGTGCGCAAATGGTTTTTTCTTGTCACAGTAATTGTTTCCTCCTCTCTCCCTCCTCTCCTCTCCTCTCTTCTCCTTCCATCCAATCCCCTCTTTTCTTACTTCCCATCCTTCTATTCACTTTATTTGGGAGACGTCCATGTTTTTTATCTTCCTTAGCCGTTTTGGCCAACTGGTTCAGGTTGTGCCCGAGGAGTCCTTAGTGCACTAGACGCAGCTTGGATGGTACGATCTTTTGCTCTTGACAAACCACCGCTTCAAATCTTGAGCGAACGCGAGAACATCTACCGACTATTGTCAGGAACAAACAGCCAAAACCTCCAGAAGAATTTTGACTTGTATACCATCAATCCTTCATCGCGGTACATGCATATACCACAGAAGAAAATCCAGGAGGTTTACCATCTGTTCGACACAGACGATCCAGTCAATGCTGATTTTACCCTTGTTAGTCCGGCGGGCATTCTGTCGACAACTAAAGGTAATTGGTAGATTACTTTACCATATGCACCTTTGTCGCACGGCACGGCACGGCGCGATTTCCCTTTTATTTATCGACGCACGAATAATCACTGTGTTAGGCACATGAATGAAGACAAATATCCAATAATTGGTTTTGCTGTTTTGTTCTTATTAAAATAATAATCAATATCATGATAATGATAATATTGGAAATCCATCAAAGTACGAGTTGTCTCCGAGAGGTAATAACGTAGTATGGTAGTAAAAATGACGGGAGATAATAAATATCACGATAAAAACAATATTGGGAACCATTTGAATATGAGTTTTCCCCGAGTGGTAACGTAGTATAGAGTAAAAATAACGAGAGGGGCACTAAGAAAGTAGCGCATGATAAATGTAAATTAAGATTTTAAATGGGCCTCATGGGGAGGGGTGTAAAAGCACTGTCCCTCGGGGTTCTCCTACTCAAGTACGCGGTGCGCACCCACACGCTATAACAATCAAGGCCATTCTTCTCTAGATTTTTGCCTGATATGTTTTTCTGCGCATGCAGGGCCCAAGAAAAAACGTATCAGCTTGGGCACTAAACCACAACGACGGCCAAACAGAAGGCACATCAAATTTGCACCTCAGGCAAGTCAGGACTCACAGGCGTTTAGTCCCACATCTTCCAGCACAGAAGATCTGTCGGCCATGAGTACTGAGGACAGGGTCAGATTCGCTGAACCCAAACCCCGACCACGTACCACTTCTGAAAGCCTTACATCAGGAGGTGAAGAGGTACACGAGATAACCAAGGAACGAAAATGGGGAAAGAAATCTAGGAAATCTCGATCCCCACTTTCATCTAGTCAGGAAAATCAATCTAAAATGAAGAAGTCGCCGTTTGATGCCGGGTTGAAAAAGAAAGGCAAGAGGCGCAAGTCTGATCGAGCGAGTCCTCCTTCGGGAAGTGCGCACGACGAGAAGCCGAACAAACGTCGTAGTTTCTTTGGATTTGGTCGCGGGAAAAATAAGCCAAGAGGGGGACGAAAGACTCCTGAAGTTCCCAAAGAAAGCAAGGCTGTTAATAAGACAATTGCAGCGGAGAAAGCCCAAAGAGTTGAGTCGTCGAATGGTTTTACGCCTCTCGGGGAACCAGCCTGGAATAAAGACACAGCAAAATCACCCGGCATTTCTCGTAACCATCCTACACGAAGATCAGCTCGAGACATTATTGCGGAAATGGAATCGCGCAGTAAAATCTCCTCTGGAAATACCACTGCACGAGAGAAAAACAACTCTGTAGAGATTCCACGAAGAAAAATTGTGGAGCTACCGAAACCTGTGCATGAGGAAATCACGAGGAAACCGAGCGTCAAGAGAACAACGAGCGAGCTTGATATCCGTACACCGCAGTCGAAGCATCCTAAAAAAGAAGGCTTATGGGAAGAACTGTCGAGGTATGGCACGAAGATTTTCATAATAAATCATCGATATCGTTATAAACCGATTATAGCGCCATTGTTGTTGTTTTTAATTTCATTAACGCCTGCGCTCAAATTCTATCGTTTTATCTGGATAATTGCAAACATCAGTCCATTCCAATTATTTCAAGATTCCAGATTTTCCAAAATTAAAAAACACTCAAAATTCGAGCTTTATGTATCTCAATAGCATCTTAATGGAGGATCCACAGAGTCACCTATAGAGACATGATATACAGTCAATTCAAAAAACGTTGTCGTCGACCAACTCAAGCCTACGCGACTTGACCGAAAGGAATATGGGTAAAAATCACTRAAGCGGTTAAATATTCGTTCTGAGTTAATTGTTCACGCTAGTAATAAAGATAATAATGGCCAGAAACAATCCATCAAATGCATGTCTTTGGGTTTAGGGAAAGAAAAACAAAGTAGTTATGATTCAGTTCACAATTCCGAAA